GTGGTACGTAAAAATTTTCAAATTGTGTAGGTGGTACGTGACTATAAAAAGGTTGAGAACCGCTGCTCTATATGGTTATTTTTCATTCCGAGGTAGGTACTAACATACAGGGTGATTTTTTTATCATGAACCACTCATTATTTCAAAAAGTATCGATGTTTTTGAAAATATTTTTTTACAAAGTTTCATGTTGTTTTTAAACAAATATAATTTTTTAATATTTTTCATCCTCATAATTTTTTAAGTTTTTTACTTTTTTGAATGACAATCTAGAGTTTTAATTTCATATTCCAAAGAAGAATATTTTTCTAAGTATTTTAAGTTTAGACAAGCGGAGTAGTGGACAAACATTTTGCGGGTAACCCCATACCACTCCACTCCGCCAATCTAAACTTTAAATACTTATAACTCATTAACTACTAGCCCCAAATTCGATTTCTATGTATCAAAATACTTCGAAAAATATTCTGCTTTGGAATATGAAATTAAAACTATGTTGTCATTCAAAAAAGTAAAAAACTTAAAAAATGATAAGGATAAAAAATATTTAAAAATATAATTTTTTAATAAAAACGGTTTTCTAACAACATTAATCTTTGTAAAAAAATATTTTCAAAAAGTATCAATGTTTTTGAGTGGTTCATGATAAAAAAATCACCCTGTATAATTGTACGCTAGGAAAAACCAGTTATTTAAATAAATCCCCACCAACTATAACTGTATTTAGTTTCCTCAAAAAAAAAAAAATTATCAATAACTATTTTTTTAAATTTTTTTATTTTTCTGTGTCCAATGACAATCTTATAATAGAAAAAAATATTCAATTTTCGTGACCCAAMATTAAGGAATTGAATTCTGCGATGATAATTATTAGTCTGTTATTTTTCCTGTATAAAATGATCAAGATTGATTTAGCAGTTAAAAAATCCATATTTCACAAACATGTGCAGGCTAATTTAATATTATGTGATGTTTATTATAATTGACAACATTAAATAATCCCTTAAAGAATTATAACCTTCTCAGAGGCTAGGTTAGATMAAAAAATTGCAATTATCTTTAAAACTCCAAAAGTATTAACACTTTTTAATAATTTAATAGTAGTTAGTACTTATAGTGTTGAGAAAATGTCAGTAATTAAATAAATAGTTAAATTCTTATGTTCTTATATTATTTTTACAAAAATCAAAATTAATATTCCTGCTTCCATTTATAATTAAGAAAATACAGCTTTCTAGCCTTAAACCCTTAGTACCAACTAGATCTAATTTTCTACTAGAATCCATAATTCAATATAAAAGATGAATACACTTTTATTACTCCAAAAAGTGTAAAAAAAAACATTGTAAATCAATAATTTGATGAAAGAGGTTGTATAGAATTACAAAAGTATCATACACATATTTAACAATTTTATATTGTTAAAACTGATTTTATTTCAATTTCTTTTAATTTATATATACAATAATATTTACATATAATCTGATAAACATAAATTTTTTTAATTAAAAAATGTTTATGCATAACAAATGTGCAAAAACATAATATGCAACACACTTGTTCATTTTAATAAATCTGTAGTTTCAAATACTTTTTACACTATAACATAATTCATTGACGGTAAATGTATTACACGGGGTATTACATAATGATGGAGTAAATTTAAAAAAAAGCTAGCTGTTCACTAACAAGTATAATTTCAATCTATTTTCTAGTATTTTTTCATACATTCACATGGCAATAGTTGCTAGAAGCACAGTGATGTCATCCGGTTTTCCACCTATCACAATACAATAAATACAACTARTTAATTAAATATAGATTAATTAAAAAAATACAGATTTTCATATCAAAACGTATGTATATACTATTAATTGAATTGGAATGAATAATAATTTAACAATTATATAAGAAGAATTTAAAAATATTACCATGAAGTAACATTTTTTTTTTTTAAGTGCTTAGAAAGATTTTACCAATTAATATTGGGTAAAACTTGAGAGCTCAAGCAAATTCCAGTTTTAAGATATAAAATTCCATAAGTACATTGCTTTGGGCACTCAGTTCAGCTTAATATTATATAATTCCTATTTAATATTATTATATTATTTTATTTTTTATAATTAATAATATTAACATACCGACAGTATTAATTCCATTTGCTTGAGCAGAAAGTGCAAACGGTGATAAGAAAGACCTATCAAAGGCTAATATTCTAGCCATCCATGCAATTGTGTTGGCAGCACATTGCAATTTTAAAGGATCACGAACACCTTCAATTTGACTTAATTCTTTTAACAACAAATGGTCAGGAACATTATCAAAAACTCCATCAGTGGCTAAAAGAATGACATCTCCATTCTCAACAGCAAAATCCGAAGTATCCGCCGAGTCTGGGCTGTCACTTAATACTTGACCATTGTGAGCAGGAGGTGGAACTGATAACTGATAGGGAGTATTAAAGTAGTGTTGTTGTTCCTCAGAGCGATGAACAACATGTCCTCCACGAACTACCATAAAACCACTATCACCAATATTAGCTGTATAAATACTGGAGGTCTCTTTGTTTAATACAACTACACACGCTGTACTACTTCCTGAAAATAATGATTATAAAATCCATGGTGGACATGGATTTTTTTATTTTAGTTAGRTTATTTTATTAATTTTAAAAATGGTCATGCATCAACTACATTATAAGTAATTATATTACACAAGTCCCCAAGTGAATTACCAATAGTTAAGAGGACATCGCACAGGATGTGTTGTCTATGGCTTACACATGTACTACATAGAAAATTTTCGTTCACTAGTTTTAATAGTTAGTTATGTTAGTTTTGATATTAGAGAGAATTTACCCATCATTAAAGTTATAAGTAAGAACATTATCTGTGTTCTCTTATTGGTTTTTTATGATAATTTAATCTTTAAATGAGTTATGAGTATGTATAGAGCATAAATATATAAAAATGCACAAACTCATTTAAAAATTAAAAWATCATAAAAAAACCAACTAAAGAATATTAATAATGTTCGTACCTAAAGTTTGATAATGGGTCACTTTAATATTAAAATTAACAGCACACTATAGTAACTAGTGAACGAAAATTTGCCATTTAAAAAGGATATAACACATGCAAATGCAATGTTCTCTTAGTAGTTATTTTGCATCTAAATTATAAATAACTTATTACAAACAAGAATATTTGTATCTCTTTAAAAGTAGGTAGAATAAGCCTAGGCTTTTATTCTATGACACTTGTTTWATGATTCAAGTGAAATGAATTATTATTTTAACTTTTAGTAAMATATTATTATTGTATTAATGATACAGATTGTAAATTACTTGTAAAAATGAAAAAAAAGAAAAACTTTGAAGAATGGTAAAATTAAACTTTTTATAAAAAATACATATTAATTGGATTACCAACATTTTTACTATTTAATAATTTAAAATTGTTCACTTTGTTTGTAACATCTTACTTTTAATACCATACTAGATTCAAAAATTCCTGAAATATTAACTAATATGAAATTTTAGCCTCTAATATTTTAAAATCAAATTAATCCATTGCCCTCATAATTAAGTACACAACTGAAAAACTATAATGCTAGCTTTATGAAATTSTTAAATCAAAAA